GACTGCTAAACCCCTCGTAACAATTGATGCATGGAGTTAAAGACAGATGTCAGTAAATTCGATATGGAGATAATAAAAATGACAAAAATAAAAAAGGAGAAAATCAGAAAGATACAATACAGGGTAATGTTAGTTTGTCTTATAGGAGTGGCTATTGGAGATCCCTTGTTTATGCCTGGGAGCGGCCCTTTTTTGGGTTTGTGGGTGTGATTGCTCGACCTAGAGCTGTTGAGCTCACATTGGGCACACATCAACTGAGAGATTCATTAAGCAGGACGAGTAAAGGGATTAGAACACAATTGACGACATACTCACACATAGATGACGACTTTCATTTACCAAAAGAAGGAACTAAAAAAATGAAATTGTAATACAATGTCCATTAACTGACTATACGAGAGACGGAAGAGGATAAATAAATATAACAGCTGAAGGGTGCCTATTTAAACATAAAGAGATCAAATTAGGAGGACACCTCCCCTTGATTGTACGGAAGGAGATTAACATTTCAACAAACATTAGAAGAGAGGACAATATATGGTAGGTGTCAAAAAGCGCAAGATAGAATGGCATTCCTGGAAATGATCCATTCAGATTTTGGTCCAACAGGCCCTATAGGTTACGCGCTTAGAGGTGACTCTGGAAGTACAAATCTTTAAGTATTTCATACCAGATATGATATAAGAGATTATTGCACGACAATAGATACTTACATGTAATGAAAATTTGGAACAGTGATTTATGATCTTGTTGTAGGCAGGGAGTGCGAGGACTGATTACGCACTTATTTGTTGAAATGTTGAAAAAGTTGTAAATGTATGGTCTGGCACCCACGATGGTGGTGCAGCTGACTCAAACCTATATATTTGAAGCTGTAAAGTTTATGACGTGATCTAGCAAACTGTAAGATCCTAGAGGTAAATAATCCCAACCAAGGCTGCAGCAGGGCACAGACGAAGTTAAGACACGGGAGGAGGAGACGAGGTAGCAATATTATTAATGAGCGAGAATTCTGGAGAATGGTCAGCTGTTGATAATTCTCTGTAAGAAGAGAGTCCCTACCTGTACTACTGTGAACCTATATTGCACACGGAGATATCCTTCTGTATTGAATATATCAGAATAATCGAAAATGAGTATATATGGTAATAGTAATACGATGTAATGAGAACCAGAATCTTCTCTTGTATGTAAGTAATGGTAATAAAGTAAAATATGGGATTAAAATAGAATAAATGAAGATTATGAAATAAAATACAAAGTAATTATAATATATATATATCGTAATTTTATATAGAATACGGAATAAAGAAATTACTAGATCAAAGTAAATAAGTTAAATTAATTGAATATAATAGAAATAGCTGAATATAATAAGTATATTAGTAGAAATAAAATAAATTAAAGATAAAAGAGTGGATATAGAAAGGATAAATATGTTTATCGGAAAATATAGAAATTTACTTATGGAAGATAATTAAGAATAATAGTATAATTGAGAGTATTAAAAATAAGAGTAATATGAGAAATATTTTAATATAAAATGTATATATATAGAAAGAGATAAATCGAATATTAAGATACACTATAAACATATAAGGTCATATAACACCTGGGAGCGGATGAAATATTAACTTGCTAAAAGAAGGGATGGATAATGATACCGTAAACCACCCTACTCCCGGGGCGCGACGGCAAGTAGGACACCGATTGCAGTTATCCTACTCGCCGACAGAGACTCCGAAGACTAGTATAGTAGTATTCATTTATAAATAAATAATGGATATCAGCGGCGCTCCACCTATTATACGAGCTGCCCACAGTCGTCCACGTGAGCGGGCCCGTCAGCTATAACGCACCTACACTCCGTATGACCGAGAGGTCGCCCACGACATCAACAGTCTGAAGAAAGAGCACGTCACGTATCAACGTAACAGTAATGACTGACAACACCTTGAAATACTACTTTATACATTAAAATGAAAGGCATATAAAAAATATAAAAAAGAGCTATGAACGACCAACGTACATTGACCAAGTAATTACTTAATTGTTCATAACGAGGCGCAGAGCTGTGACACAGCGACGGAGACGATAGAACAAAACCCAATAATATATCAATCAACACGTACTAATACACGCAGATCGGCGATATACATACAGGAAATTCACAATCCTGCACGTAAAGCGCCCCGCGTCATTGCCTCATCCGCTCCGAACCACCACCGAAAGTGCAACTCGGCGCCCGGATTGCATAGCCTCACTACACTGCAGCGTACAGATCGATATGCGCCTACTGCACGGGTACCTTCAGAATGGCGGCAGAGGTAGCGCCCCGCCCTGAACCCCACGCCGCAGGCGAGACGCAGCCGCCAGATTACAAAGTACCGGCAGGGATGAAGGGCCGTCTTAATAGATAGCCCCACGCAAGAAATGTAGTGAGCTGGAATCATAGGGTGAAGGCTTTTAGGTTTTTATGAATATATAAGAAATAATAAAAAATTTAATTAAATATAAAAAACAAAGTAATATATATAATATAAAAGTTAAAAATAATAATATTAAATAATATTAATATAAAAAATATAATACCGTATAATTATAAATAATATATTATAAAATTCATATATTATATATATTTTGAAATATATAATACATGATATTAAAATATAATTATAATGAAAGACTATATCACAAATATAATAAATAAAGTAATAATATATAAAAATTAAAAAAATAATAAATACTAAAAAAATATTAATAATTAAATATTATATAAGAATTAATAATTATATAATAAAATATAAATGTAAATATAGTAATAATATAAAGATTGAATTAATTCTATAAATTTATGTTAAAAGTAATAATATTAATAAGTAAGATAATAGATATAGATGAATATATAATTAAATCTATAAAAGAAATAATAAGATCTAATAAGAAATTATTATATAGGATATATAATAAATGACTAATTATTAATAAAATATTAAATTATATATAAAGTATATATACAATAAAGAAATAATATTAATAGAATATAATATAATTATAGTTAAATTAGTAAATAAAATAAGCTATTATAATAATTAATGTAATAATTAAAATCAGGCTAGTATATAATTTAATAAAAACTATAAGTTTAAAAAGTAATATAATAGAAAATATAAATTAATAATAAAAAATTAAGTTATAATATTAATATAAAAAAATATAAAAAAAAAATATATAATAATTAATATTATATAAATATTCTTATAATATTATCTTAAGAATAACTAAAATCACAGATAAACAAGTAAATAAAAATAATATATATGGTAATATGAAACCGATGATATTTGTATAAAAAAAAATATAAAATTAAAAATAAAAAAAAAAAAAATATCAATAGTAAAAATTAATGAATAATATTATATTATATTAATAATAAAAATAAATAGTGTATTAAAGTAATACAACAATTAAACTTATTAAAAAATATAAAAACTTTAAAATGTAAAAGAGTGTTATTAATATAAATTTCTATGGTTCTGGAAATAAAGCATTATAAAAAAAAAAAAAAAAGAACGTGATACTGTACCCATTGCATATTAGCTATGTACGGTAATCGGTACACATCATACTGTACCTAGCAACAAGTTACTTTCTCGCTTCTCTCTACGTGAAACAGTCGTAGAGCCTGGTCGGCTGAGCCCGAGTATGAACTATGTCCATGCCTATGTAGGCCCTACTAGTACTATCAAAGACATCTATTTTTGATGCTATCATTTCAATTCATCATTTTCAATTATAGAAAGCAGCTAATTCCAATATCTTACCCAACCATATACTCCGGTTGACAGTTTAACACTGCGCATGCGCTAAGCCTAAGGTCAAAGTTCGGGAGGAGTTTCCGTCCCAGAATTGTGAGTAAAATGCGCGAACAATGGCGTAACGTGTAGTGTGAAAGACTGCTCAAACGGATCGTATTGGCTTAAGGAAAGACTTTTAGAGCATGCATTGACCATAATTTAAATGTATCAAGTGTCATGTCACTCAGGTCATCCATTATCGGTGCTCTATTCCCTGCTACATGCACTGTTCTTCGACAAAAAGGTGAGCGACCTGCGTATGCAAGGCAGATAACGCATCGAGATAAACAACATGGCAGAGTTTACTCGCACATCCGGGCTCTCGCGGAGATGCGAAACTACTGGCGCAGAACATAGGCGCAGAACTGTCAATCAGTGTATTACTATTATTAGCTATACCTCAGTCTATAGCACCACTATGCCTATTGCTCATAGGGTCTATGTCCCCCAGGGTACTGCCGGAACGTACCCTGGTAACTATCTAGCTGATATGGTTAGGGTTAGGGTTAGTGTTAGGGTTAGGGAGTAGGCGTAGGCGACTCCCTAGACTCGTTAATGGAGTAGGCGAGGTAGGGTCCGGCATATTAGATAGTACTAGTAGTATTTAGTACCAGGGTACGTTCCGGCAGTACCCTGGGGGACATAGACCCTCGCAGCATTACTATTACTATTAGTATTAGTGCCTGGCATCCCAGAGTAGGGCCTAACAGAGTAGGAACACTTTCGATGTATTCAGTACACACACAGTGACACACTCACAGTACGACCGTTTGCGTTTAGTACGTAGGTTATCATGCACGTATGCCGTGATATGTAGCGATAGTAGTCACGTGACCTAAAAGTGACGAATTTGAGGAAAACAGCACAAGTTGAACTTTCAGTTTAGGGCATTTTGGAGCATTGTAAATGTCATTACAGCTACAGGTACTCATTGTCAAATGATTAATGTCAATGAAAAATGATTAATGTAAATTGTAAATGAATTGGGTACCGTAATATGAGTTCTGTCTTACAGACAATTAAGTTAAAAGGTTGACTGTGTAGAACGTGCAATGTTAATTACACGTAATGATTTCCTTAATTACGTGTAATAAAGAATCCTATAATAATTAAAATACATAGAATAGATTTGCGTTAGTTTACCTTTGTTTACTATCTGTCTCCATGCAAAAGTCTAGACAGGCACCTGTCGTGTTTGAAATCGCCGCTTTTCGACGGTAGATGGCGCGGAAGTTTAAAAACAAAACAGCAACTGTTGAAATGGCAAAAATTTTGCTCAGAATCTTGTAGCATCACACGAATAATATGGCTACTAGTAGTAACCAACTGACTACGAAGGAACAAATCGCCCAGCTATGCACAATAACTGGCGCAGATGAGAAAACTGCAGAAAACTTGCTCGATGCTTGCGCCGGAAATTTGGAAATGGCAATCAACATGGCTGTGGACGGCCCGGCAACGATAAACAATGACCTGGACATCAACAATCAGCAACCGCATTCAGTGGAGCGTTCCAGAAGAAGAAGTAAAGGTGAGCCGTCGGCTGTGGCTTCGGCAGCCACTTCGACTTCAATGGACGCGAACGTCGGTGGCGACGATGTCCGTGCGCCCATTCCAAAAAAGAGGGAGGTTCTCGTAGAGGAAGGCTACCACCAGACATACGGATTTCGCGGCGGCCGCCGTCCGGCCCGCTCCGTCTTCGACGGCTTCCGCGACTTCCAGCGCGAGACGAAAGTGCAGGAGGCGATGCTGACCAAGAGCACCGACGCGCGAAAGCTCAAGACTCTCGAGGATCTGTTTCGCCCGCCGGTTGACCTCATGCACAAGGGCAGCTTCGAGTCGGCGCGTGAGGCGGGGCAGGTCAGCGGCAAGTGGCTGATGGTGAACATACAGAACGTGCGCGAGTTTCCCTGCCAGGTACTGAACAGGGACGTGTGGAGCTCGGATGCAGTGCGACTCATCATCAAGGAGCACTTCGTCTTCTGGCAGGTGTACCACGACAGCAGCGAGGGCGAGCGCTTCCTGCAGTTCTACAAGGTCACCGAGTATCCGTACGTCGCCATCCTCGACCCGCGCACGGGCGAGAATCTCTCCATCTGGCACAGAGTCGACGCTCCCACCTTCTGCGAGAGCGTGACGGATTTCATCTCGCAGCATCCGACGATTCAGGCGAGCCCGCCGAACGCGGAACCACCGAGAAAGAAGATATGCTCCGAATCGATACTCGACGCAAGCGAGGACAGCCAGCTAGAAGCGGCCATCGTCGCATCGCTAGTTAACAATAGCGAAACGACGCAAGAGGGTGACGAGACGGACAGCAGTGGCTCGGAAATCGAAACTTTTTCCGATTCCGGCAGCGAGGCGGCGTCTCCCGTTAAGAAGAACCAGGGAAAGTCGCAAAAGGCCAGCATCACCGCTCAGCAAGAGCAGAAGACAATCTCCCCAGTTCGTCAAGTTCCCTGTAAAAAGAAACTTCACATGCCACAGCTGCAACCTCAGGCTAGCGATCAGTCGAAGAAAGATCCTGCTGCGGTGAACGGAAAAGCCGAGTGCGAATGGAAGAAGCATCTTGGCCCCGAAACAGATCCGAATACGAACCTCATGATTCGTTTCCCAGATGGAAAGAGAGAGCAGCTGAACGTACCCAGCTCGTCCAAACTTATGGCATTAGTGCACTTCACGATAGCCAAGGGTTTCCCGAATGAACGATATGAGTTGGTTACAAACTTCCCACGAAGAAAATTGTCCTACATGGATTTTAACGTGACTCTGAAAGACATCGGACTATTTCCACAGGAGACTGTCTTTGTACAAGAGCGATGAGTTACTATTTGAAAATGTATATTTAAGTTAGCATAGGTTTAAATGTGCTAAGTCTGTCAAAAAAACAAACAAAAAACGTGGTTTACGTGTTCTTTTGCATGACAACAAACTGTATAGAGATTTCTAAGTAATATATAGGTAGATGGTGAATATGTCCTGATCAGGTGTAATGATTTGGGAGTACAGGTTTCATATCTTACTGGTGGTAGGTGTATTTTATCAGGAGTAAGATAATAACTTGTAAACCAGAATTTAGTAAGAGTACACCTACTCCTGATTGTATGATACTAAAAACTTGTATCAAGTGGAATGTTGTAATTAGGGTATGTTTCACGTTTCGTAATCATTGTTGAGTCTAGCTACCATAGCAGAAAATAAATGTACGACTATACCTATATGTACATGCCTTTTGTGTAAAAAACATTTTTAGTAAATAAATAACTTTTGTACTATATGAGGCGTGTTTGTAATTTGCCAACAAAACAAGTACACCACACACGAATAGAGATTTAGGTCAATCCATATGCCATATTTGTATTAAAAGTATAATTTAACAATATAATTGCCACAACTGCTACCATTGACCAAGCACTCACACATGCCATATTTGCCTTAGGTTAAACACCTTTCTGAACTAATTTCCACAGAACACACAAAATGTACAGTTGAACTAGAGCACTCGGAGAGCACAGACCTCCGCCAAGGCAGCTGAATTCTCTCAATGTGAAATTTTTTATTAATTAATTAAGTGGAAAAATTAATTAATTAATTAAATAATTAATTGGATCCGGATTAGTGCGAGCGTGCAGGTGGGGGAGGACTGTGGTTGCGTGTTTGTAAGTCTACAGCCAGCGCACCTAGCGGAAGTGAACTGAAACGTGCATGTTCACAAACCCACAAACACACAAACCAACACTCAAAGACACGCCGGTGAAAACATAACCTCCGCCAAGCCCCTGGCGGAGGTAAAAAGGAAGCTTGAATGTTATGTGTATATACCTATTCAATTTCGTTCAACTAACAAACTGAGGTGGCATTGCAGTTTCCACGTCTACTTAAAATAACTACAACTTAGTCTTCAGAAGAATTGCTTATAACTGTGCCCATCCTTGGATTCATAATTTGCTTATATACAGTTCCTGGATAGATAATAAATTACATAGAAATGTAAGTATTTATTTCTTTTTCCCCTGTTTAGCCTGTTTTTCTCTGCGTTTCTTCAAATGTTTTGGAGTCTTGTGCTTCCTTTTCTCTTTCTGCTCTTCTTTGATGGCTTTCTTTCTCTCCTGTTAACATATGTAAATACAAGTGATTAACATTCCCACTGGCTGGTTGAATTATTAACAATCTTCACATGTTAGATGAAATATTAGATAAGGATTCTGGTCCTTTAAAATGGATTACCATGATGTAAACTAGAAAGGGCAGTTGTCGCCAACTACATGTATCCCCCGTGATGTAGTATGAATGAAATATCTCTGTAAGACGTAGAAGGTAGGTAAAGTTAAATAAGTCACAAAGACAAAGGTTTGTTACACAACTCATCTGCCTGAGATGTGCAAGTATGTTAAAATTGGTTGCCTTAGGGGTTTTGGTACGCGACACACCTTCTCCCCAAGATGTGTAAGTATACGAAGTTTGGTCGCGCTAGGTCAATTAGGGGCCGAGTTATAGAGCGGAAGGGAAATATGATCAAGGTCAAGGTCAAATAAACGCCGCAGTGACCTGGTTTTGGTATGCAACACACATTCTCCCCAAGATGTGTAAGTATACCAAGTTTGGTAGCGCTAGGTCAATTAGGGGCCGAGTTATAGAGCGGAAGGGAAATAGGATCAAGGTAAAGGTCAAATAAAGGTCATAGTGACCTGGTTTTGGTACGCTGCGCACCTTCTCCCCAAGATGTGTAAGTAGACCAAGTTTGGTCACGCTAGGTCAATTAGGGGTCGAGTTATAGAGCGGAAGGGAAAATCTCTGCGGCGGACCGAGCGGCGGCGGCTGTACAGACATGAAACCATAGTATCCCCGCCGACTTCGTTGCGGGGAATACAATAATTTATAAGCAATTATGCAGAATACACAGCTAAAAATATTGCTCTAAAGAGATTGATCAAACATACTAGCCAAAAGTAACTGGCTGTACACATGTACAAAATAGATTTTGGCACAACATACAAGAAATTGGTTGTGATACTTGCTGGCATGTGTATATATATATACCGATAAATAAAATCTCTCTTTGTTATGTTATACGTTGTCCTAAACGTATGTGGTATTGTATAGTTTAGAACTTCTGGTATAATCCGTAGAATCAATTGAGACAAACACAGTTTAAGAAACACGTTTTATTCTTCCTCAGCCAACGAGGGCGACACCTAGCGTCAACATCCTTATGTATGGTTATTATAAAATTTAGTGCGCGGATATACAACACTCTTGTTAGATGGAAGCCAAACTAAATTAAAAAATGGTACTCTGGTAAGCTTCTGAGACTATGAGCCTCTCCGTTTACAAGCAGGTCTACCTGTAAAAGTGAACAAAAGAGATTTCATGAACATACTTTTTTACTGTTTGGTGACTCATCCCTTGGTCTGTAATGGGGTTTCAACTTGGATTCTTCACTCTCGTCCTCATCTTCCTCTTCACTACTTGAGGAATCCTCTCCCTTGTCACTAATAGGCTCAATTTCACCTACTTTTTGCTCCGATTCTAATAGCACAGGCACCTGCAAAAGGAGTGTTATAGGTTAGTATCACTTGGAGCAAGACATTTCATGACCTCCCTTGAGATTCATCACAGTAGATATATTCAAGCTTAATACAGAACCATTACTCATAAAAAACTCTAATACAGAGTTTTTGAATACCACCCAGAAGCTATATCTGCCAAGGGCAGATAGAAGCTCCTAATAACTCGAATAACTTCATGACCAATGGTAGAAGACCGTTATACATAAAGGATGCTGTGAGAAACCCCGCAATATAGCCTCTCAATTCAACTCAAGCCTAGACTTACCTCTTGTGCACCAGATAGATCAGGCTTTAAGCCTGTGATTGTTTGATAAAACAACTCCTCTGTGTTGCCCTGGGCAGCAATCTCCAAATCCCTCTCAAAGTCCACCACTTCTTCAAGTTTACGTGGGATGAATGAATGCTTGAAAACCTTCCCAAACAATTAAAACAAATAGTAAACAACTTGAACATTGATTGTATCTTACACATTTTACACTTTTCAGCTAGACCCATAGTGCATTGAATTTTTATTAAAGTGGCTAGGGGCTGTGTTGATATGTGTAAAATGGAATTAAATACCATCAGGTTTAATTAATTCTAATTACAGCATTTTAAAAAGACAGTGACTACACTGCGCATTCACGTGCTCATCCATATAAATTCACCTCCTCGTCTATTTTCTCTTGAGCCGTTCTTTCTTCCTCAGTTCGTGTTGCCGACTTTTCCATAATTTTGTCCAAGTAGTCATCTATGTTCTCGTCTGTGATGTTGGGATCCGTGACAAAGTCAAAGAACTCACGCATCGTCATGACACTTACACCATTCTTCTTGAAAAAATCTGTATGGAAATTATTGAGTAATATATAAATGATGATATACTGTGACGGTATATAGAACAGAGAGTGGAGCAGGGGAAGGGGACAGGAGGGAAAAAGGAAAGGAGAAAGGCTACAGACAGAAAAAATTCACATTACATATTTTAATCCGAATCTGAATGGACGTTATGCAGTGAAATTGTCGATGCTAAAATTACTTAAAAATTGACACACTAACAAGATGGCAGCCAGAGCCAATACCATGTATGCGGTGCACTACATCACTGGAGCTAAGTATATACATGCATATAGTTAATGGAACACTAACACTAACGTACCAGTGATGTTGGTGCAATCTTTTCTAAGAAACTCCAGTGAATGAGGATGATCATGTTCAACTGACTGTGACACATCTATCACATAGCACTGCCCTTCATGGTAACTAAACAAAATATAACAATAACCATATTATTAGCGAGTCAAACATGATAATATCAGCACATGGTACCTACCACAAATTTCGTTGTGTCAAAGACAAAGTCAGCTCTAACGCCCTCCAAAGGAATCCTCCTTTAAATTCAGTAATATAGTTATAATCGTTTCAAAGTGGTTCCATCTATCGTAGATTTACGCTTTGCGCTCATAACGTATGACATGCCGATTAGATTAAATAAGTACAGCAAATGTTAGCTACCGATCAAAACTACGAGAAGTTAGGATTCTTACAGCATGTTGAATTCGCTGAGGTCAGCGTGAACAAGCTTGGCCTGCTGGAAGATAGTGCGCACCATGAGAACACACTGCAGGTACAGCTCTCGTGCTTTTGCCTCCGAAATGGAGACGTCTTTTAATTTTGGGGCTGGCCTGTTGAGGAATCCAAGGGAATGGAAATATTAACACGGAAAGTTGTGATGCAGCAACGGAGAAACACAGAAATTATGATTACAGTACTCCTGGGGTACACTACTGACATCGCTTGAAATTATTACCACTTAAATGCTTGGTTTAATCAAAAGGATCAAATGAATCACATATCAATGGCAACGCAATAAAAGTCTTAGCTAAATCCACTACATATGCCATTTTTTACACAATACAAATATCTGAAATCTACAATTAAATGCATACACACGGTTCTCCCCAAAAATTTATGAAGGCAAATCCGGCGATCTAGCAATTCATCCTGATTCCTGATTGCTATTTAGAGTCAATTACTCATGTCCAATACATAGGTAATTCCATCAGTTCGGAGACGTATACGTCAAATTGTGAAAACACAACATATGTACATGACTGTGTTGGGATTCTCAAAAGTAAACACAGCTGGAAATTAATGCATGACAATTACACTATTACAAATTAAGGCATGTAGGATTTATAAGAATGTCGCAAATTAGATTCGTCTTTGAATGAATGTGAGATCTGACACATATGTTAAAGGCCTGGGGAGAACCCTGATACTTCATAAATGGGATACCAGTGACAATATGAGCTTATATAGCAGTGAATATGAGCTTACCACCCATCTTTGCCAATGAAATCCATAAGTAAGACGTGTCCACGCAAAAGAATCGGTTCCGGACATGGAATTCCAACTTGGAACATCCTGAAACAAAATACCACAGGCTGCTCATCTCTACCAAATTCTCATAATATATACGTTATATATATATATATATATATAAATTGCTTAAAATGTGTGAAATTGGTGCAAACTAAAATTCTGATGAAATATAGCTACTTCTTGAGGAAGATTGCTTAAGATCGCTTAATGACAAAAGCCAATAGGTAGTTGGCAACCATGTCCCAGTGCCATCTGCCCTTGAAGTGAATGCATGAAAACAATGACATATTACATAGATTAAAACTAATCAGAGGTATCTGACCTTGTGAGGTTTCTCATCTCCTTCTCAGCCCAAGTGCGAACCATCTTCCTGGGGTTGTGCTTGCAGTAGCCATGGCGAAACCTGAACTCTCCACTTACGTATTTATCTCTGTCTTTGAATATGAGAATTGATGTCTTGTAAACCTACAATACACACATGCAAAATTTCACATATGAAACGTTTACATGTAATAAATGTATTAACCGTATTCACCTGAATTTTTGTAAAGAAAATACCTAGCAAAATCCGTGTCCAGTCATAAACACCACATCTGTCTCCGCCATATACCTTTATAGGGTGTGCAGCACAATTATATTTAAGTAGTGATATTCCACTCCAATTTACAATATCATTAAAATGACCGAGCACCAGTTTATTCATGCTTCATCCACTGTAGCATTCATCATGTCTTAAGAAATAAGAACATATAGCTCTGAAACGCTGCCTTTTTTTCAACCTATTATTGAGCACGTGACAAAGTGTTTTGGCGATCTACGCACCACACTCTATCTGCGCTCACCTTAATCGCCCTGTGCTCGCCGTTCTTCGTCGACGCGTGATAGACGTTCGCCTCCTTGCCGGTGCTGATGCAGCCATTGATCTCGCCGATGAAGTTACGTGAAAGCAGCTTGAAGAGGATCATGCGCGTGCGCGGGTCCATCACCTGCTCCACTGTCGCGCGGTCAGACTTGTCCTTCACTCTCACCCTGCGACGTGCAGCCAGAATTCATAGACACATGAGAGGAAGAGGAGGAGAAGGAGGAGGAGGAGAAGGAAGAGGAGAAGGAGGAGGAGGAGAAGGAGGAGGAGGAGGAAGCTGCTGCTGCCATTCACCACTCTCTCGTCTACTTACAACGTCGGCTGATCACATTACAGAGATGCTCCGAGAGCTGCGAGCATCTTGTTATGAACGACACCCAATTATTTATTTACTTATTTACTGCCATCAAGACAGTGGGTGAAGTTCAAGTTGTTGGTGTAAGGAGACGTGGGAGGCCGAAGATGTCTTGGAAGGAGGTTGTGAAGAAGGATAGGGAACAGTGGAATCTCTCCACTGTAGACCCCTTGGATCGTGTCATATGGAGAGCAAGCGTGAGAGCTGCCAAAACTGGACCGAGCCAGATTCCTGAAGTGGGTTTCTACTGATGTGGATTTAAACCCTTGAGTCCAGTATAAAATAAAGAAACCGAAAACAACAACAACAACAACATTACTTACTTGCAAATCGTAAGCCGTGCATGCGAACTAAACCACGTTTCTTGGAGTTACTGCAAGGGCCCCGCGTATAACAATACAGATTCATTAAAATGAGCTGATTGTGTAAATCCCACACACGATCAACCAGTAAAATTAAAATTAATAGATGGTAAATAAATTCTAAAAAGAGGAATTATTGAAATTGCAAATGGCTAACTCCTTCCAGACTTTACCTCTCATTTTCTCGCTTTCTGTTTGTTTCTGATAAATGGTTCATGGCAGATGACGGTAGCGAATCAGGGCCTTCATACTTCTCTGCAATTCGGATAGCAAACACTTCAGATACCCCTACAACTATCTATCCCTGGAATTTTCTGATTTCCACATAAATAATTTTTTCATATATATACACCTCACCTGTAAATATAGTTTGAATTATGAGCTTTACACATTTGCATTATGAAATTCAGTTAATTACCATAACTAAATCACATTGGCAATTATCACATTCTGTTCACTATATGTTACTCACCTATGTTTATTTTGTGCGAATATTTTCGAAGCGCAGTGTCAGTAGGCTAAAATAGATTAAAAATAATCAGATGACATACCTATTTTAGTTCGTATGAAATCAAGAAATTACATTAAAAAATGACAGCATAGACAATATAATGCTTACACTGCTTATATGTACACGGACAATGATCAATCATTGGTCCATACCAAAACACATAACTATAATTATGCCAGAAATAAGATACAAGTAGGTGGAGTTTTAATTCATATACTAGTGTGTATCAACTACATAAGATATTTGACAGAAAATAATGTCTTTATACCTGGAAATGACCCTTGGTTTGTTTTTGCTGGTTGGCATTGCTACTGCCATGACAATGACGTGATGCTTGGTAATGCTTTTTTAAATCTGGAAGTAAAATCAATTGTATGAAGAGTAACACAGATAGCGAGAGGGATTCTAGCACAAGATTAAATTAAAGCAATCAAATTTTATTCTACGATACTGACTATCTGTGTATACATAAAGTATAGAAATGTGCACAAATTTTTTCCATTTTATATTTAGTAAACTCTAATTCTCATATGCCAAAGTGGACTATATTAAAAACCATTGCAAAAATATTCTAATAAATAATTTTTATTCTTATTACCTCCTACAGCATCATACATATCATCTTCATCATAATCCTCATCATAATCTTCATCATAACTATCCTCTGCATTGTTCTGGGATAATCGATTTTCTAAAAAAAACAATTGAGCAACATACATACATGAACACACATTTTGTATTCGTAACATGAGTGCAGAATATACTTACACTAACAATAAAACAGTAACACGTCCAGATGAGACGGGATACTAGAGAAGTAAGCCGGTTGCCGATAAGGATGTGTGGTCTCACTCAACATGCGCTAAGGCGCAAGGGAATCTTGCGCGCAGCGTTCTGCAGGCCAAGCATGCCGCACGCGACGCCGGAACGTTCCTATGCGACAGTATGCAAGCAGCTCACGGCAGCTATGGATCCAAGTTGACGTCCGAGATTGAATTGGCCGCGCACGGATCTAGACTGCCAGCGAACAGTCCGCAATCTTTAGTGGCACTGGGGGACACAGGGTAGAATTTTGGGACTGTGAACAGTGTTCTAATTGTTATAAAACATAATGTCTTGTTGTTCGTAAACCGAGCTGCATGATGACGCCTTGAAAATCACATGAAAGACTTAGAGTGAGAGGCTCGCATTCTGCGAACCTTGGGCCTAGTAAGGGAAGGCTGCAAAGAGAATGCTCTGTGTAGCTAGACTGGGGACCGCGTCTCCCACGTTCGATTACTCTGCAATTCGAGGTGACTACGGCTAGAATGCGAGAACAAGGTAGCAATGTCTGATGAGGGGTCCTTATGTCGCCCGATCGGCTTGTCGAAGTAGCCCTGGAGGTATCGGCTTGTCGAGTACACCGGAAGTACCCTATACGCCGGACCATCTAAGAACTATGCCGCACGTACCTCGCACTATCAACTATCGCAGTTAGCGGAGTCGCCTAGCTACTCCCATACACGAAACCCTAAACCTAATTCTACCATCATCTAAATTAGTGACCTAAGTGTAACGTTCCGGAGACTATTATCGGACCTAATTACCCAGAGTTACGGTCTACCGGCAGTTACCCTGAATGCATTGGGACCATATGACCTATGAGCGTTTAGTAAGTTGTACATGGGACCGTAGATTTTAAACCACTAATTATATAAGTGGGTATGTAATACAGAAATGAATAAGCTGAATGTTCCAATATTATTTAGTGTACGCGGTCTATTGTACTGCCTTATTCAGCTCTAGAGTTAACATATAAATATGCGATGTATTGCAGATATACTGGTTATGTGTCTTCGTCAGCGGCGTATTTCTTGCTATGTACTTGCGTTACACTGGCTCATAGAGTGTCTACTTGTAAGACTCAGGGTACCCTTCGCTTACTTAGCCGTGAGCTATCAGTTCTATGTCATGGTAGCGGCTCTCGTAATTATTGGGTTATTACAGTCGAACTTCTCGTACACTAAATACAATACTACCACATTAACAGTATTAACGCTTAACTGTGTATTTATTCAACCGTTAAATGCTCCCATTGGTAACTTTAATTCAATGCACAATCGTGACTTTCAGCTATCAGTAACATACGAATCGTGACCTTTTGACTTTTTTATCCTGAGTTGTATAGCACCGTTGTTATTTGCTCCTATACATGTTCTGTTGCATTGTCTATGTCAAATATGTGTTCTTCTATTGTATAGTAATTGTTAAAATAATGAAATATAGAGCTGTGAATTTTTTTTATATTACTGGTATTTTTAGTCCCCTTTTGACGATTTTTTTATTGACAAATTGTTGACAAGTTCTACTATAGATAATAGTATGTATAGTACTACTGCGCGCAATAACAATTAACATTTGTCAGCGGTCTTACTAGATAACTAGGTACTAATACAAACCAGTGCCGCCATCAACTCCATCAGATGTGACTGATCTTAATCACAAATCTATAACGCAGATTTGCAAATAACGCATACAATTTCCCGATAAGATCAAAGCGTATAAATCAATCTTGATCTGGAAATAATAAACGAAAAAAGACGAAAAATAATCTTACATGAATCAAAACAGAAATACGGACATTCAAAATAATCTTAGAACTTCAGAAAGCATTTGACGCTCAATCATGCAGAACGCACATTGTTGAGTGATTGATGCTGAGTGCTAGCGATTCTGGTGTTATTAGTGTGCGGGAATACGAAGCCAAAGGAAAAATTTCTTAATGGGTTAATAAAAGCGCCAAATGTGCACATAGCTAGGTAGGCCGAGGTCGACGTATTCAACGCAGGCTACATTACGTGAAGATACGATGGAGTACAGTGTGTTGGTGTGGTGTGTTCGTTGAGTTTACTAGCCGTTAGGCGAGTACATAAACCCGTTAGGCGCTAGGAATTGCAGAACGTGCTGTACAGGAAACGTACTAGAGCTTGTGACATATATAGAAACAAGAGTAACGCGGTTCGACTGTTCGCAGAACCTAACTACGTTAGTGAAATAGTAGAAAATAGGATACTGAGATCTAGGCTTTTGTTCGCGACATGTCTCTCGTTAAGTTATCAAATATCTGGGGAAAGATGGCAGACAAATGAATGAAGTACATTCTGTGGTCCATTTGATGTTTAAATGATGTTTTATTCCTCAAACAGAGTGTAAGTATAGACATCACGCGACTAGCTAAGAACGAAACGCTGATCAGGCGAAATGAAATATTAACTTAATATTGGAATATTTATATTGATAACGTTTAAGATAAATCACTCACGGACACGAACCAAAGTGAAGCCAGAAACTCTAGCAGCCACGGGAAAATAGAAATTTAACGGGCATCAACAACATACAGAATATACTCATGTACAGAGAGTAGTAAATGTAACCAATGAGCTGATAGTTAATGACGCCCGGCACGCCACGGCAAAAACATTCGCGGGCGCTGCGGGCAAACCAGATGAGACGATAAATCAGTCAGCCTGCCGTGTCCAAAAGACTGGTACGGTCGTTCATTAGGCCAAGTATCTCTCGCTACACTAAACTTACGCTCGCTACGCTAAACTCTCCACCGCGGGGCAGTCTATAAGCCTATTTGCCGTTCTTTCTGTGCGAAATTCTCTCGAACATCCCTCGAAGAGAGACTCGTCGCCCCATCTATTGGTAGCGATAGTACGACAATAAGTTCAGGGCGTGTAATTAAATAGATTAGAAATCGCTTTTCTATAAGAAAAACTAACGCGCCAACCAAAACAAGTTCCAATTACGACCATTGGATTTATTCTCGCCCTACGTGCATAGCCGAAACGTTTCTAGAAGCGCCAGAACTCCTCAATTGACCGATTACATGCCCATTTGATATAACCGGTGAAATGGTTCTTAATGTAGAGCAGCGAGTTATCTGAAATGGCGCCAACAGGTGGCGCGACCGCGCTTCGCGCGTATATCCGGCTGCAGACTGTCCAGTTCCAGTCAATCCAGTGTAATTTAAGCTTTACCATGCAGTGTTTCTCCTGGAATACCGTATCCAGGACGGGCCGACCTGCCAATTTCTTATCCACCTCATTGAATATTTGTCTAAATTGCTGCCTCGTAGCGAATTCTTGGCCTGCCTCCAAATAATTATCTGACCTAGACTTTCCAGTCCCGGGTTATCCTACTATGACCCCCTAACCGGCACATCACCAGACATTGATCAATGCTGCCACAAATCAAAGCAAACACCATGGATGCAACCGCGCTTGCTACGCGCAAGGCATATGCAAGCCAGGCTTGTGCTAGACATATATTGAGACACTCGTGTCAGCGCCTTCGGCACTCGCTTTTTTAACCCTATCAACTCGCACATGATTTTCTTTCCAAGAGAAATACTGCTTTACAATGTACGACCACAACAATTTGTATTATCATTTAACAAAACGTGCCAGGTTTGACATGTAGTTATCTAATACCAATGATTATTATCCAAATAAATCATAATCAGTCCTACCCTTACTGGTGACATCATTCTCATGGACATTTGTAGAACTCTTCACTGCCTTCTGTCTATCACTATAACATACAAATTATTTATAATTATATGGATATGAATATTATATATATATGGTACTCATGCAGCTTGGTGGTGGACTTTGGAAAGAACGGCATATAAGGTTTGAGTACCACCTGGGTAACTATAGTGTAGGGCCATGCATTGAGAAAAGCGCACTTTATCCTGATTATTCAATGAAGGAAGAGACAATATCCCTAATATTTTCTATTGGGGAGATATTAAAGCTCGTTCCATAGTCTTGTAGCTACAGATTCCTTATTGAGCAAGATGACACATTTATGCGTTATCTGGATGCCTACTTTAGGATCACACTCATAGTGGGAGCCTCCGTGGCCCAGTGGTAGCTAGACATCATGCACTGTCCACTGAATGCTGCGAGTTCAAACCCCGGTCGGGGCAGTGAATTTTCTCAAGGTGTAAAAACCTGGCTCTCAACATTGGAGACTGTGAATCTCCCGTGGCTCGGATGACCACGTAAAATAGCGGTCCCGTCTCCAGAAATACTAACCAATGGGGACGTAAAAGAACCACTGAGGGCGCAAAAAGAACTCTGGCTGTGACCACCCTCAGTGCCATTTGGCTAAAAGGCTGACTACCTGAACTGACTGCTGAATAAGAATAATAAGAATAAGGAATAAGAATAATGAAGAAGAAAAAAGGAATAGGAATAAGAAATAAGAAGAAGAATAAATTCCTCGCACATTCCAAAGAGATAATCAGTGCCTTGTGAAATACAAGAGAGGGACCCCAAGATACAAGATACAAGAAGATAGTCCATATATTTTAATGACTGGCTTATTTTAGATGGGGCAGTGACATCGTTAATTTGTTTATTCTTACAGGTTAGTATAATATTGATAATCATTCATCATGTACTGGAAACCCAAAGTATAGGATTGAGCTGCTAAATATTAATATTATTATAGACTTGGTCTGTGCTCAGTTTCGTCTCAATCATAACATGTAATGATGTACTACTAGTACTAGTATAGATACAATAATGTAACCCAAACCCAAGAGGATAGGGGGGGGGGGTTATCCC